TTATATTTTGTTATTTATTAAATTATCAGTTGACCCTAAGCAATACCCTTCACCTATAATTTATAGAATGCTCCCCGAATCGCTTTACCCGAGCGCTAGACGTCAAGGCAAATGGGGCACATGGGCTACAGGCTGAGAGGCTCGTCAGTTCAACAGTAAGTTTTGTTCAGTTTCAAGCACACAGCTAGGAGTTAGTTTGGATGATTCGAGAGCAAGAGCACCGACACGAAAAAGCAGAGAACAGAAGAGAGACGAAAGTAGGGCACACACGAAGGACAACAATAAGAGAGCTGATTTGAGTGCGAGAGAGTATTACTGGTGGCATCATGGCTGAGGGAATGCGTCGAGGCCGACGGCGTCGCATTGAGCCAGCGCGCATTCAGTACGGCGCCTGGGATGATCCGGGCGTGTCGCTGTTTGCGACCGTGCCGCAGGAGCCGGTGGGCGATATGCTGGGCCTGTTTAAGCCCCTGCCACGAGAAGGCCGGGACAGGGCCCTGGAGATGGATGCCTCGCCGCTGGTCTTGGCACCAACCAGCGCGACAAGTCGCCTCTATCGTGAGGTCAAGTACCAGGTGCAGCAGATAGCCGACGATCGGAACAAGAACTACCATCCCATACAGGAGCGGGAGCGGCAGTCGGCCCTCATCGCCGGCATGCTGGCTAAGCGCAACAATCGGGAGTTCGCCGAGGCGATGCGGTCCAGGCAGCTGCAGATCAATTCGCAGAGGGTGCGCGATCTGCAGATCGAGATCGAACGGGCCAAGACGACGCTGAGCGTGGTGAGCAAGCGCAACGAGAACATGCGAAACAAGGGCAAGGAGCGGGTGGAGGAGCGCAGGGAGGCACTCGAGGACCGGGAGCAGGTGCGCAAAGAGAAGCTGGCCGAGCAGCAAGCCCTGCGGGATAAGACGCTCGCATACAGCCAACAGCTGGTGGCCCAGATACGCAAGCTGCAGGCGGAACGGGCAGAAAAACAGATGGCCGACCTGGAGGAGGGTCGACTGAAGCGCTACAACGACGAGCAGGCCCACGCCAACGATCTGAAGGAGGGCATCGAGAGCAAGTTTAGAAAGAGAACGGAGCTCAAGAAGATGCTCGACGACTTCTCGGCGCTGCAGCGCAGCTTGCGGGAAGCGAATCCGGTGCCACCGGACAAGCTCAATGTGATACTGATGGAGGCAGTGGGCCCAGTCACCAAGAGCTTCATGAGGAAGGCGATTCAGCAGAAGCTGGACATATTGGAGCGACGGCGTCTCATCAGTGACGGCCTTTCCGTTAAGCTGGCCGAGATACGCGGCAAGAAGGAGGCCCACGACAATATGCTGGCCGACATTTTGGTGTGTGAGCGGCAGGCACGCGAAAAGCAGAAGGCGCGCCAGGAGGTGCTGGACCGCCATAACCAGAAGCTGCAGGTGGCCAAGGATCTGATTGAGCAGCACGAGGAGAAGGAGTTCTTCCGCGAAAAGAACGAGCTGCTCTTCAGCAAAATACCCACGGATGCCACCAGCTTTATGCAGCGCCAATATCAACAGACCCTCGCCAAGGAGGCGGCCAGGCGCGAGATCAATCAGAAGGGCACCGCCGGCAGCGCCGCCGAAATAGCGAACAACGCACGACTCCGCGCCCTGGCCATCGAAGAGGACCGCATGCTCAAGCAGGCCATACTCGATATGGAGGCGGACACGGAACGTCGCATCGATGAGGAGCGCATGCGCTTGCTGCGCGCCCAGCCGCGAGAGATCATCGACGAGGTGCGTCCTTGCAAGCTGACCAGCTTCGAGCGGATGACCTTCAATCTGCCATCATGCGCCAAAGACGAGGATACTCACACCCACTAACTGACTCCAGAATCAATCCTGACTAACTGAAGTAACTAGAAAGAGCACCAGGATTAGGCTTAGGTAGCTAATTGATTGGTTCAACTGGTTCCGTGTCCACACTCCACGATTCACACATCGACACTCGAAAACTATAGAAATGATCCAGGCAGCCACTGCCAATGCTGATGCATCATTAACACACAAACGCATATACATATATATATTTGTTTTACGTGCAATCAAATTGTGTTTTCTTTTGGTTTTGTGCTACGGCTACAATACGCATTGGCCCCAAGGTGCACAGGGTGGCACACATGCTATTTCAATCTGCAGACTTTTGGGCAGCAGCGAAAAAATACATAAGAGTTAAGTATTCCATTGTTGTGTGTGCCGCATTTATTTATAGCTTTATATACATTATGACAAACTATATAAACATTATTATTTGTAATAGCAATATATTTTAATTACCTTATATATATATTTACACTCAACTACCATATTTCTTGTCCGTGCATTAGTCAGTTAATTTTACGTAGCATACTTTTGGGCTGTTTATGTTTTGAATGCTCGCTGACAAAAGCTGAGTTGCTATGGATAGAATCAGCAATTTACAATTTGTTATTTTGTGTTGTAGCTTTTGCATATTTATTGTAAACTAAAATAGCAATTTTTAATAAATCTAATTTTAGCATAATATATATAGCGTTATGTGGGTTCTTAGGCCATTGGTTGTCTGTCTGCCGCGGTTAGGTGCATTAATACAGTGCAGCTTTACAATACACAATTTCATTGCATACTTTTGCGCGCAGCGAAAATGTTCTAAGCTTCCAGTTGAGCTGCGCACGAAATCTGCATAAATTGCCCGGCAATTTTAAAAACGGCAAATTTATAAAATTTTCTTATGTTGCTAAAAACAAGTTTCTAAACTTTACAAGGCACAAAGTAATTTTTGTTTTTCTCGCTTTATGGGCGTTTTTTATATTTATATTTAGATTTATTTTTGTATTTTGAGTTTTTTTTTTTTTGTTTATTTTTTTTTGTTTTTTTGTTGTTTTTTTTTTATTTACGCTTTGACTCGTATGATTAGATTTAGTTGTCGTATACATACGCATATGTAAATGTATAGGTACTGTATAGATGACTTGTCTAACAGCTAGATACAATAGTTTAGTCACAGCTTGCTCTGCAGCGCACCTGGGGCTGCCTTTACCTCCAATATAACGGTTAAGCCATAAAAAAAAAAAAAAAAAAAACATAAAATACATTCCAGAAATGCGTCTTTTGTTCAACTTGGACTCAATTCTGGCTACTTACAAACTAATAAATGCATTTGCCTCCGGTACGTTTCCAAAATTAATTTGTTTTTGTTTGAATTTTTTTTAGACTTAGTTTTTGGCAGTTCCTGAACTTAACTTTGGCAATGTTTTTTTTTTTTCATTTTTTTTTTAATTCATATTAAATTTGGAAGTAAAAGCTTGCAAAAGGCATTCGTAAATCTTAAAACATTTCATTCTACCATAAATTGCTTTGTCTCCTAATTGATCTGAGCTGTATAAGTTAAATGCATGACAAAATAAAATATGTATACATATCAAAACAAAAACAAAAAAAAAGTGGGTGCATAAATAAATTATGAATAAAAAAAAAAAAGGTTAATGTGCGACTTATAGAGAAATGATAGATATAGATATGGTATATAGTAACTATATTGCCATGGGTGCAAGACCGGCCCTTAACTTAGCATTAACTTTATATATGTATATATAATAGATATGTATTATGTATGCGTTTTACGTATAGACCGAATGCTCTCGGGCATTCCTTAAATGCAACAAACAAACAAAATTCGAGCACATCGCCAGCCCAGGAGTACGTGTCGGAACTCTATATAACCTACTAATACACAACTCGTGCTGATCCGGTGGATGTTGGGCTTCATTGAAGTAGTAGTTGTTGTTTAGTCAATCACCACGGACCAGGGATGATCCACCTTGCCATACTGTATGTCTGTCAGGGTCTCGCGTATCAGCTCATGGACGGGCTTCTCCTGCTCCATGGTGGGTATGTACAGATCCTGGCCCATGTAGTTGATCCGATTGACGGGACTGACGACGCAGGCGGTGCCGGTGCCGAAAAGTTCCAGCAGCTGAATGGAGCCAAAACAAATCGAATCGAATCAGCATCGGTGCAAACTAGAGAGCCAATATGTAATCTACTTACGCGTCCCTGGTTGAGCAGTTCCGTGACCATGGACATGGTGATGACGCCCTCGCGCACCTTGAACTTGCCCCACTGTCTGGTCATGGACAGGATGGAGTCGCGCGTGATGCCGGGCAGTATCAGACCATTCAGCGGCGGGGTAATCAGTTCTTGTTCTAAAATCAGATGGAAAAATTATATTCGAAATTAAATAAAAAATTATGAAAGAAATTAAATAAAAACTCAAGAACTATTTATCATAAATATTTTAAATCAAATTAAAATAATAAAAAAAAAATAAAATTAATTT